TCCCATAGCTTGGCCGTGCCGTCGTCGCTGCCACTGACAATAAGGGGAGGGCCTCTGGGCGCGGGGCAGCAGCTGTTGACGAACGACGAATGCTCCGCCATCTTCTTTATCTGTTGTGGCGGGTGGGGAAAGGGAAGGAGGGAATGGGGGTTGGAGTGGAAGAGGAAGCAAGGGAGGGCCTCTGGGCGCGGGGCAGCAGCTGTTGACAAACGACGAATGCTCCGCCATCTTCTTTATCTGTTGCTCGGGAAGGATGGGAAAGGATGACGAGGGAAGGAAGGGGGAGGGGAAGGAAGAGGTTCCTAAGTGTTGAACTGTGCAGTGCAGTCATAAGGTTCAGAAGCCGATGCCTGTGAGTGGTTCAAAAACTCCATGCAACGCACCTGCTTGCCCATCTCCATGTTCCATTCCGCGTGGTCTGGTCTGTGCTGGCAGACACAATTCTGTGGCCGTCTGACGTCCACTGCAGCTCTAGCACAGTGAATCCATCCCCCGCCTCTCACCTGTTTCCCCGTCTCCACGTCCCATGCCCGCACAGTCTGGTCAGGGCTGGCAGACACAATGTTCTGGCCGTCAGACGTCCACAGCAGCTATCACACAGCACCTTGAATCCATGCAAATCACCCCCCTCCGCCTCTCACCTGTTTCCCCGTCTCCACGTCCCATGCCCGCACAGTCTGGTCAGGGCTGGCAGACACAATGTTCTGGCCGTCAGACGTCCACAGCAGCTATCACACAGCACCTTGAATCCATGCAAATCACCCCCCTCCGCCTCTCACCTGTTTCCCTGTCTCCACGTCCCATGCGCGCACGGTCTGGTCGGGGCTGGCAGACACAATGCTATTGCCTTCTGACGTCCACTGCAGCTCTAGCACAGTGAATCCATCCCAATCCCCCCTCTCCCCCCTTCCCCCCCACCTGTTTCCCCGTCTCCACGTCCCATGCGCGCACGGTCTGATCAGGGCTGGCAGACACGATGCTGTTGCCATCAGACGTCCATTGCAGCTCGAGAATCACATTCTTGTGGCCCTTGAGGACCATGTAGTTGTCGCACTCGCCCTCTATGCGCCACAGGACTGAGAGGAGAGAGGGGGGGAGAAGGGGGGATGGAGGAGTATGTTTCCCTTGACTGAACCCCACTACAGATCGAAACTCTTGAGTCTCGAGAAGGGCGTTCTTGTGGCCCTTGAGAACCATGTAGTTGTTGCACCTGCCCTCTATCCACCACAGGACTGGTGAGAGAGGAAATACGGGAGAAGAGAGCTTAAAAGAAGGAACACAGGGGTGTTATTTCCCTTCACTGCACATCGAAAATGACGATCTTGTGGCCCTTTAGCACCATGTCCTTGTCGCACTCGCCCTCTATGAGCCACAGAGCTGCCAACAAAAAGGAAGAACACGAATAGAAGGAAAAGGTTGCCAATGAAGTAGTGTGTTTTTCAATGAAGGTGGTGCAAGTGAGATGCTATGCTACACACACACTCATCACTTGTGCACTCATCATTTGTGCTTTCGTCATATGTCCCGTTGTTTAGGAGCGCACCATCCACCTCCTTTAGGGACCGGCACTGACTTGCACCCTATATTTTGAGTGGCGTGTGCAGGTGTATAGTGTGCAAGTCAGTGTCAGTTTCTATCTAGAGGGAGGTGGATGATGCGTTACGAAACAGCAGTACACACGGCGAGAGCATGAAGTGGTGAGAGCACAAGTCATAAGTGCGCAAGTGGTGAGTGCGTTTGTAGCATCTCATCGTACTGAATACCAGTGCACCTCCAGCACAGCCTTCTTGTGGTTCTTAAGCACCAAGTAATTGCCGCACTCGCCCTGGCACGGGACTGAAAAGAGGCGGGGGATGGTTGAAAAGGGTTCAAGTGAGAGAAGGAATAGAGGGGTATGTTTTCCTTCACTACAGCTCTAAAACCCCGTTCTTGTGATTGTGGCCCTTGGGATGCCATGTAGCTTTCGCACTCGCCCTGCACAAGCCACAGGACTGAACACGTGGCAAAACAAGGGAGAGCGGGGGTGGGGGGGAGAGGGGGGGGGGGGAGAGGGGGAGGGGGGGGGGAGAGGGGGAGGGGGGGGGACGGGTGGGAAGGAAGAAGGGGATTGGCACTCACACAGGAAAGTAGTGCAATCATACAAAGAGCAAGCTTTCACAATGTAGTACATTACACAAGAAATCACACTCACATATCTCCTTGTCTTGTGAGCCCGAAGCAATGACCTCCCCATCTGGACTGAACTTCATGGTGAATACCCCCGCCTGGAGGGAGGAGATAGAGGGGATGGAAGACGCGGAAAATGGCAGGCGCGTGGAAACATGCATGGCGGGTGGGTGGGCCCTGTCCTGACACCTCCTTCCCATCCGGACTGAACTTCATGGTGAATACCCCCGCCTGGAGGAGGAGCGGAGGGATGGGCGCATGGGGGAATGGTTTTTGTAAGGGGACTTGTATAAAATTGGGTGGGCTGGGCACATGGGAGGAGGGGTTTAGGGGGGAAGAAGCGCATGGGGGGATGGGCGCATTGATGGGGGATGGACCCATTGATTTGAAATAAACAAAAGCAGGAATAAGCGAATGGAAAAATAGTCGCATGGTGGGCCGGAGGCATGAGGGAATGGGCGCATGGGGGGATGGGACGTGTAGGGGGTTAGACAAAGTGAGAATGAGCAAACTGGAAAGCAACCCATCGGTGTGAGTAGTAATCACTGCATGGCCCGTGAGCAGCATGATCGGAGCGAGCAGCGACGATGCCCTCTTGATTACCTGCATGGCGAATGACAACGTGCAAAGCCATGCCATGCCATGCCATGCCATGGCCCATTGGTGTGAGGACAGCACTCACCGCGTGGCCCGTGAGCAGCATAATTGGAGCAAGCAGAGACGATGTCCTCTTGACTCCCTGCACGACAATTGGCAACGTACAAAGGAAGGCACGGCAATGCAACACTCATCTCATCACACATTGAGACGTATTCTGAGTTGACTCAAGCAGCAACGATGTCCTCTTCACTCCCTGCACGACAATTGGCAACATACAAAGGAAGGCAAGACAGTGCAACACACATCACACAATGAGACGTATTCTGAGTTGGCTCAAGCAGCAGAGACGACGCCCTCTTGACTCCCTGCACGACAATTGGCAACGTACAAAGCAATGCCATCCCATGCCACGTAAATCACATGATGAGAGCGAGAGCAGCAGTATCGCATGCTGAATAGCACACACACGCCATCCCGGCCACATTTGACATCCTGGGGACACGCCATGCAGATAGCACACGCCATGCCCAGGAGGTCAAATCGGACATCGTGGTGACATGACAGCCCGCCAGCTGAAGGCGGCAAACACACCACCACCCCCAAAATTTCACCAAAACTGAACAGTCTTCAGTAGTCAACGGTCAACTTAACGGCCATAAAGGGCCTGACGGCCATAACGGGATATAGAGAAGGTTTAGGACGTAGATTTCCCGAGTGCACTTCTGTGACAATGGGGAATTTGAGTACAAAGCGCAGGTGGGATGATACAATAAACGGCTAAGTACGTGCGACATGACATCTAAATACATTATTTAAAACCCGTAAGGCCGTTGGGATGCCAGCGCCCTCTCTAATTCAGCCGCAGCTGCATCTGTCGATCTGATCATCAAGGAGCCTTCGAGTTCCGAAGCGCGGGGTGTCATACATATATGCGGGTACACCTTCTCGCGTTGAAGGTCTATGGTAGTTTGTCACTAAGCGCAGTAGTTAAGGGCCGGATAATGAATTAACGATGGCTTACGTCTTTAGTAACAGCTAATTGCTTCCCCTTGTCGCCATCTGCCCCAGACGACGCTGGCACCAGATCCGTCCGTTGCCGCTTCGCCGATACCAGCTCCTGCCCCTCGGGAGCATCCCCGTCGCGCTTTTCCGGCATTCCGTCGTTCGCTGATTTACCAGGAGGGAGAAGATAAGATCCAAGCAAGCTAACAGAAGAGAGACGATTTCTGGAACTGACAGGTCACGCCTTGTTGCTGGTCAGTTGTCTGGCACCATGAGTGTGTAACTCGACAACGGATACCAAAAAAACGAGGTGAAACTACGTTGCTCGATGAAATTAAGGGCGACTCGAGGGTGAGGAGGACAGCCAGAAATGCGAAAAGATCAGGCTAGTTTATAATATACAAAACCCCTAAACGAGCAGGGCGTGGTTACACAATGCAGCTCGGAGTTTGGTACTCACTCTCAGTTCTCAATTCTACTTCCCTCCGTAACCGTACAGTTTGGTACGGAATGACACGTGCGGTGAGCTCGCGATGCGACAGTTACCATTCCAATCGGCTTGAATGGAATTTCGCGAGCACCAGATTGTGTTTCGGAATGCGCTCGCGAAAGTGCGCGTAACCGAACGACGTCACCACAGCGACCTCATCTCGGTTACCAATTTCACCGGACTTGGGGTTGTCGCTACGTTGCCACGGTCTCCGAAACTAGGCAACCCTGAAGAACCTAATCAGCTTTCTTATCCATTCAGTACGGCATTCCCAAAGGTGGTCAAGGGGGTATCCGATAGAAACCACATAGGTTTCTACCCGTGAAATCGTCCATCATTGTGGGCGATTGTATCTCCGCGTTGGTAACACGCTGGCTTTTTCTTGATCTCCACCACACGCGAGAGGCAGTGTCGCCTCGATTCCGAATAGTTGGCTTCTTTTGCAAGGCTCGCATCCAACCGTAGCCAGACCGCATTTTGCGCATCGTTTTTCCGACGAGTCGCGAATGCCGTCTCAGATTCAGCAATAAAGACTGATTTCAAGGCCGCAACCTCCCGTCAAACCCATTTGTCAAGCCCATAAGACCGCAAGGCCTCCCGTTTGGATTTTATCCGTTTCATCGGGCTTTTTGCTTTGTTTTCTTATTTCGTCTCGCTTATCTCGAATATTATCAAAATGGAGCTTCGTGCGGTGGACCTTACTCACGTTCGTTACTATCACGACGATCCCCTCGGTGTAGTCATGGCGTGGGCCTCGCTCGTCCCCGTATTCATCGCATTTGGCTGTCTCCCCACCCACGTGGTCTTCCGCCGCGATTTGCGGACCATGTTCTTGTTGCTCGGCCTCCTATTGGACGACACGTTCAACCACGTCATCAAGCACTCGCTGGAGATGCCACGTCCGCCGCACACGTGCGCGGCGCTCGAGGTGTGCGATTCGCACGGCATGCCGTCCGCGCATTCGCAGTTCATGGCGTTCTTCGCGACGTTCGCGACGTGGCTCGCGTGTTACAAGCTGGATTACGAAGACGAGAGGTGGCGATGGGTCACCGCCGTCCTCCCCTGGCCCTTCACGTTTCTCACAATGGCATCGCGGGTGTACCTCGGTTACCATACGATACCGCAGGTGAGTTTATATGGGGTACGAAAGTAAATGGGGTGCTTCAATGCGATAAGCAGAACGTGGACGGTTTTCACTGGACCAGTGAGCCAGGGACCAATCAAAAGCACGGCTAACAATCTGACATGGCACAACCGTATCCGACAATGCACAGCTACCTACCTGTCATTGATTGACACGTGGTCTCGCCCTCTACAGCTTCCCCTCCCGTCCTCCCACAGTAGCCCTCACCCGTTCCATGTCCTGGTTTTCCAAATTCCTCCCATCCTCTCCCAATCCCTCCCCATCATGTCTAGAACCACCTCTTTAATGCCACCCCTCATTCACTTGCCCCGTCTCCCTTCATGTCCCCCCCCTCTCATTCCCCCCACACCCTCATGTCTTTCCCCCCCTCCTATCTCCTCCCCCTTCCCGCCTTCAGGTTCTAGCGGGCTTCACCCTGGGCATCCTAGCCATCTCCACCTGGTCTTACGTGGTCCACCGTGTGTTTGTGCCTTTCTTCCCTCCACCTCACGCTCTTCTCACCTTCACTCTCCATCAACCCATCCCTCTCCCCCCCACCCAGGTCCTTGCAGGCTTCACCCTCGGAATTCTCTTGGGCTCCTTCTGGTTCTACGTGGTGCACCGTGTGTTTGTGCCCTTCTTTGCTTCATCCCCATCTTCCCTCCACCCCTTGTTCAATCAGGTTCTAGCAGGATTCACTCTCAGCATTCTCTCGGGCTCCTTCTGGTTCTACGTGGTGCACCGGGTGTTTGTGCCCTTCTTCCCCGCCATCTCCGACAGCGCGTGGGGGCGGTACCTCTGCATCAAGGACGACTGCCACATCCTCAACCGGCATCTGCATCACCATCACCATCCGCGCTCACACATTCACATTCACATTCACATTCACATTCTCCTGTCTCCTCCCATTTCGCACCCCCAGGTCCTGGCAGGCTTCACTCTCGGCATTTTCTCGGGCTCCTTCTGGTTCTACGTGGTGCACCGGGTGTTTGTGCCCTTCTTCCCCGCCATCTCCGACAGCGCGTGGGGGCGGTACCTGTGCATCAAGGACGACTGCCACATCCGCAACGTGGCTGTCTTTGAGTACCTCAACTCGCAGCGAGCCAGGCAGGAGCAGCGAGCGAGAGAGAAAGCGCAGAGTGCAGAGCAGGAGAAATTGCTGGAGAAATCTCAGGAGAAAATGCAGCAGGAGAAGGAAGATGCGGTGGGTGAGCAGCAGGGGGGTGAGCAGCAGTAGGCAGCAGAGGAGAATGCAGCTGACGGATCTGCCAAGGCAGAGTAGATAGACTAGGGGGGAGCTCAGACGTCTCAGGGGGCGCGTGGGGGCGCATGGGGGCGCGTGGGGGCGCTTGGGGGCGCGTGGAGGCGGTACCTGTGCATCAAGGACGACTGCCACTTTTGCAACGTGGCCGTCGTTGAGTACCTCAACTCGCAGCGAGCCAGGCAGGAGCAGCGAGCGACAGAGGTGCAACAGGAAGCGCAGAAGTCAGAGCAGGAGAAATTGCTGGAGAAAGTGCAGCGGGAGAAGGAAGATGCGGTGGATGGGCAGCAGCAGGAGGGTAAGCAGCAGCAGGCAGCAGAGGAGAGCATGCATGATGGTTCTGCCAAGATGGAATAGATTGGGGGGAAGGCTGTGGCGGAGAAAGTCCCACGACTTGGAGAGTTAGAGGCTCGATATTTTGGGGTGGACGCTGAATGAAATAAGCCTGAAGACCTCCCTCCTTTTTTTTTAATGTTTTGTTTATTTTGTTTTGTTGCATTGCATGCGTTGAAACTCCTCTAGGTACCAGGGCTCAGGTTTGGTTTTGGCCTACTCATGATTGGCAGTGTAGCTTTTTCAAAAACCCTTATGGGCAGTGTGTACTTTTCCATTACACTGATAGAGCAGTGTAACATCAGGTTTTGAAATTTTTACCCTGCATCATCAGTGTGGTTTTATTTCAAGCACTGACCATGTGTAAATTAGGTGTGTATGACAGGTGGCGAGAAAGTTATCTGCCTCCCAGGTCCCCTGCCCCCTCGATCGATTGTTTGTGAGGGGCGGGGGGGAAGGGGAAGTCTTACGAAATTGGCGACAATTTCGCCTCCCCTTCCCCCTCGATCGATTGTTTGTGAGGGGCGGGGGGGAAGGGGAGGACTTACGAAATTGGCGACAATTTCGCCTCCCCTTCCCCCTCGATCGATTATCAGGCAGAACATAATGATCAAGGGGCGGGGGGGGAAGGGGAGGACTTACGAAATTGGCGAGAATTTCGCCTCCCCTCCCCCTCGACCGATTGTTTGTGGGGAAGGGGGGGGAGGGGGGGGGGGGGGGGGGGGGGGGGGGGGGTGTGTCAGAATGAAGAATGGATGATGCATTGATGTTGGTTGGGGTACATATAGCTAACCCTAAGTTTTGTACCCCCTAAGACAAACCTCACTATAGGCTACAACATTTGACACACCCCCATAGCCTAAGTGAGGGGTGTCTAGCAGAACCACACGAGTACGGTCACAAGACCAGTCCAAGAAACGAAGCTCAGGGTGGATCACAACGTCACCACACAGTCTGAGCACAAACAACAGTGGCCACAAGGCCAGTCCAAGAAGTAACAGAGGTATATAGAAAGCAAAGTAAACAGTACACTCAAGTCTAAGCAACACGAGAACCAGTGTCAACAAGGCCTAACTGCACACAACACCTCTGGTGGTCACAAGGCGGAAGCGCCTTGGTGAAGATGTCTGCAGTGTTGGCCTCGGACTCCACAAACTCAAAGCGAGCCTGTCCACGCCTCTGCAACTCTCGCAGAAGAAAGTACCTGACGTGAATGTGCTTCACTCTGCTCTCCAGTCGTGGCTCTCGACAAAGGAGAATAGACGCCTTGTTGTCAGTGAACAAGGTCGGTGCAGAGCTCGGCCGCTCACCAAGGTCGGTGAGCAAGAAGGTCAACCAACGCAGCTCCTGTGCCGCCATGGCACCAGCGTAGATCTCAGCCTCAGCTGTAGAGGTCGAGACCGAAGAGGAGCGCGTGGACCGCCAGGAAACAGCTCCAGAACCCAGGCTGAAACAGTACCCCTGAGTAGACCTGTGAGTCTCAGCGTCGTCAGCGTAAGAGGAGTCACAGTGACCAGTAAGTACGACAGACTGCTGCCCTCCAAGAACTAGCCCCACGCCTGACGTCGTCGCTAGGTACTTCGCCACCCTCACAGCTGCTGTCCAGTGAACAGGACGGTGTCTCCCTGGCGCAACAAAGCGCGCAAGAACGCTGAGAGGGAAGGCGAGGTCCGGGCGAGTACAAGTCATCAGGTACATGAGGCAACCCACAAGCTCTGCGTAGGGACCACTAGGCTCGAACGGCTCGTCAGGAAAGGGTCCAGTGAGTCTGTGGTCAACAGCAAGAGGTGTGCGCTGTACTGTGGAGTGCTGAAGCCCGAACCGCTGAAGGACCTGCTGCACCATGTGCGACTGTGAAAGTGTAATGGTGCGAGCAGCTCTGTCCCTGGTGATCTGCAGGCCAAGGTAGTGGCGCAGCTCACCAAGATCAGTGCAGGTGTGTCTCTTCTGCAGTTCGGACTTCACGTGTGCCAAAGCAACCCTGTCAGGGGTGGCGAAAACAAGGTCGTCAACGTAGACCAGAACAAAGAAAGGTGTGGGGCCACGACGAACGAACAGCGACGGGTCAGCAGAAGACGGCTGGAACCCAAGGTCAGACAGGGTAGAACGCAGGGTGTCGTGCCACTCACGAGGAGCCTGACGAAGACCGTAAACCGGTCGCCTCAGCCTCCACTGGGTCCCAGGAGGGAAAGAGCCAGTGAAGGCAGAGGGACGACGCAACCAGACCTCCTCGTGAAGACTGCCCTGAAGGAAAGCAGTAGAGAAGTCGAGAGAGTGTAACTCGTAGTCTCTCTGTGCTGCTACGTGTAGTAACACCCGAAGAGTGGTCATCTTCGGGGTGGGCGCGAAGGTCTGAAAGAAGTCAACTCCCTCGCGCTGACTGAAACCTCTAGCCACGTAGCGCGCCTTGAAGACCGGAGGAGATCCCGGTGGCCGCTTCACCCTGTAGATCCACATGCCGTCGACTACGTTCGCCCCCGGAGGGGGAACCTCATCGACGTAGGTGCCTGTGGATCTGTAAGAGGCCATCTCTGCGTCCATGGCAGCTCTCCACTGAGAGGCCCAAGGCCCTGACACTGCCTCAGCGTAAGTGCGAGGAGTCGGAATGTCAAGGGCGTCGGGGTCACCCTCAGGGGCGAGGAGCATGGCACAGAGATGAGGGGAAGCGGCGGCCAGGAACTCTAGCTCAAACTGCCTGTCCTCTAGGGCGTCACAGCCAAGGGCAGACACACCCCCGACGGCCAGAGGACTGGAAGGAGGAGCAGCCACAAGAGCGGTGGCGAAGTCAAGGCGGCGGGTAGAGGCAAACTCAGTGACTGCGGCAGTAAGAGCGGACACAGAGGACACAGAGGCACGAGGGTGAGTAACAAGCGAGGCGAGAACACGAGAGAGAAGAGGACGGTACGTGCGGTAGTAGTCAGTGACAGGAGTAGGGAGCGACGCAGTGAGGGCCGACTCAGGAGGAGACGGAAGCACAGACGGAGACGGACGAGGTGGACTAGAACGAAGTAAGGCAGTACGAAGGTCAGTGAAGGGAACAGGAGACGAGGGACGAGCACGAGGGGAGCGACGAGAGGCCCAAGTCTGAGAAGGAGGAGGAGACAACGAAGACTGAGAACGAGGGAAAACAGCGGGAGAGGGGTCAGGAGGAGGAAGCGGAGGACCAGAGACGGGAGGAGAGGGGGAGGAGGAAGGAGAGGGAGACGGGAGACCAAGGGTCCGAAGACCCGAGACAGGAGGAGGAGACGGCAGCAGCTGCTGCTGCTGCTGCTGCGGCTGCTGCGGCTGCTGCTGCTCCAGCGGCTGCTGCCTCTGCTGCTGCTCCTGCTGCTGCTCCTGCTGCTGTCGCTCCTGCTCCTCGAGCCGCTGCAACTCTCTCTCCTCTCTCTCCAACTCCAGCTGCTCCTCACGAGCACGGCGAACACGAGCCTGGAACCTGGTCGGGTAGGGGTGGGGGGAAGGAGTAGTGTCCGGGGCAGCGGCAGCCCCAGAGTCGACCTCCGAAGCACCAAGCACACCACCCCCAGAGGCAGCACCAACACCAGCTCCAGACCCAGGCTCTCCAGAAACCGAAGGGACACCCTCACCCCCAGACGCAGCACCCCCAGACTCCGCACCAGCACCCCCAGACTCCGCACGACCAGTACCAGCCCCCGGAAGACAAGAGTCCTCTGCAACCCGCGGCTCAGCTCCAACTCCAGCACCCCCAGAACCAGAGACCTGTACAGGGACAGTCGCAGGACCAACCTCTCGAGAGGGAGCACCTGCAGGAGGCGGCGAGGAAGACTGTGGGGAGGGAGGCTGTACAGGGGGGGCTACCGAAGGGGGAGGGCTAGCCTGAGACACACCAGACGGGGCTGGACCAGGGGGGGGAGGCTGTACCGGGGGAGCAGGCGGGGGAGCGGCTGTCAGGAAGAGGGGGGGAGGAGGAACCGGGAGACCTCGACTGGGGTACCTGACGTAGTAGGGGGTGGACTCCTCGAAACGGACGTCACGGGAGTCAAAGAACCGGTGAGAGGGAGGGTGGTAAAAGGTGAAGTCAGAGGAGTCCGCAGGGAAACCAAGGAAGACACAAGGAACGGCGCGAGGCGAGAGCTTGTCCGCGGAGGTGTCGCGGACAAGAGCCAAGCACCCCCAGACACGAAACCTCGACGCGACACCAGGGGACCCTGTCCAAAGACTGGTCGGTGAAGCCTCCGGCCGAGAGACGCGTGGCCAGAGGTTCAGCTGGTGCGCGGCGTACCTGACTGCGTATGGCCACAGGAAATGGGGGGCACGGGCGTGAGTCAAGGAGGTGCGGGCAATCTCCATGACCAGGCCTATGCGACGCTCAGCAACCCCATTCTGCTGTGGGGACTCCGGAAGCGTCCAGGACTGACGAATGCCCTGTTCGCGACAGAATCCAGCGAGAATGCCGGAGCGAAACTCGCCCCCGCGGATCAGGCTCGGGAGGCTCGAACGGAGAACGGAGGAACGGGATCCCACAGGATCCTAACCTAACTGATACCATGTCAGAATGAAGAATGGATGATGTTGGTTGGGGTACATATAGCTAACCCTAAGTTTTGTACCCCCTAAGACAAACCTCACTATAGGCTACAACATTTGACAGGGTGGGGGGGGGGAGGGGGGGGGGGTGGGTGTGGGGGTCCGTGTACGCTCTTCAGTGTAATCCTCGCTAAGGGAAACTTTACCCCAAGGCATCAGTGTGGCCTACATCGATACACTTACTGATCAGTGTAACACTAACTCATAAAAAAATTACCCCAGCACATCAGTGTAGACCCAAAATTTCACCCTTGTAATCAGTGTAGAAGGGTAAATTACACTGATAACCTGAGCCCTGCTAGGCACACTTTCACTTGCACAAAATGCATTCTTAATGTTTGAAAGAGATGATATTATATTGAGTAACATTGCTGCCATCTGCACTGTATCCTATACTGCACCTGCCAATGTGCAGGCACCTTTTGCGTTGACTGACATATTTGATTTGAACATCGTCGCACATTCTCAACTCCCGTCGTCGCACGTTTTCAACACGTGTTCTTCCGAACCTCCACAAATGGTCTGTTTCTTCCGAACCTGTGCGCTTGCCAATCACACATGGCTTGGTACATAACATACGTAAGTCCAAACCTGAAGCCCAGCTTTCACCAGGTTTGACTCGCGAGTCGCGTTTCCTCGTTTCAACAGAACCAGATTCCTGATTCTGACCCCCTAGCCTATAAGTAGCCATTGACTTTAGTCTTCTAGCATCACATCTCACTCGCCTCGCCACCACCTAATTCCACTTTATTCTGCAGTACAAAGCGATTAGTGACCCAAGAGTAAGGCTTCAGAACATAGCGACAAGTGTCCACAAGAAGCAAACATTCGCCACTACGTCGATCGCAGCACGACACTAGCCATGGCGTTCAGAGCGCTCGCTCTTTCGTGCATCCTCCTCCTCGTCTCGACGTCCGCGTTGGCGCAGCGCGGTCCGCCTGGCGGAGGCCCTCCCGGCGGTCAGGGACCGGGGGGCGCGCGCGGAGGCCCTGGCGCCGGCTCTAGCGGTCCCGACGGCCCTGGCGGAAAGCGGCCACACGGTCCGCCGCTGAACCTGACGGCCGTCGGGAATCTGACGGCCGATGTCGGCGCGCGACTGGCCAACTGCACGGCTGATCAGACGATCCTTGACGGCCGCTTCCACCTCGCCATTTTCAAGTAGGTCTCGCCGCTTTCTTTTCTGCCAAATTACTAGATAACACTCGTAGTGTGTTTTCCGCATTGACCCTAGGAGTGGTAGTTACTCGACGCTGGTTTTCGCACGCGCCTCTCGCAACAGCTGCACTCAACTTCTTCAGATCGCCGAACTCATGATCGCGTATTGCCCTCTTCCTCCCTTCATCCCTTCTCTTCTCTTCCCCTGTTCCAGGAACGCCACCGGCAATTACAACCTTCTCGTCGAGGCGCTGCCTTCTGAGTCGACTCAAAAGTCAGCCCCTTCCTTTTGCTCCCTGCCCTCCCCTTATCTCTCTTCCCCTGTTCCAGGAACGCCACCGTCAATTACAACCTTCTCGTCGAGGCGCTGCCTAGAGTCGACTCAAAAGTCAGCCCCTTCACCGTCTTTCCTCCCCTCCCCTTCCTTCCAATTCCCCTGTTCCCCCCTCCTCTTCCCCCGTTCCAGGAACGCCACCGGGAATTGCAACCTTCTCGTCGAGGCGCTCCTGGTGGACGCGGCGGGCGGTCCGCCCGACTCGCTCGCGATCGTGAAGGGCGCCGCGTGCGACGCCGCCGCGACAGCCGTCCTCGCGCTGCCGCTCGCCGCGGCGGACTGGCAGCAGCGCGCGGGGTGGTGGCTGCTGCACGCGGAGGCGCGCCTCGACGCGTTCGTCGAGAACGCGGACGCCGCCACCCTCGACGCGCTGCTCGCGGTGCTCCCCAACGCGTCGCTTCCGCGCAAGAGCGGCGGAGGCGCCCGCGGAGGCAGCGCTGGGGGCGCGCAGAGCGGACAGGGCGGGAGGCGCATGGGGCGGGAGCTGCTGATGCGCGCATTTGGCCGCGCGGCCAGGCAGGGCAGACAGAAGCAGGGGGGGCAGCAGCAGCAGGGGGGAGCGCAGCAGCCGCCTGCAGGTGGTTTTTCAGGTGGATTTCCAGGTGGAGATAGTGGAGTGAACAGCACTGTGAGCGGATATGCTGTGCTGGCGAGCAGCAGCGCAGCAGGTGTGACGTGGGGTGGGCAGCTCATGGGGGCCAAGTTGCCGGATGCTGCTACTGCTGGTGCTGCTGGTGGTTCTGCTTGAAATGGCCATGCGATGGCTGACAGGGTTTTGGAGTTTGAACGCAGCCTGTTGCAGTTCGAAATTGCTGCTGCTTGGTATGGTATATCACTGCCCATGACACTGCACCAGCGGAGTGGGCTGCAACAGCCACAGCCTGCTGTGGCGTGGGCTTGGTATGCAGGGTGTTGCTGTTGAGGGCCGCTGCAGACATGGCTCTGTTGGCTTGAGGACTCATCTAGGTTTGCTGGGTTGGGATATGTTAGCTTTGCTTTGGTTTGTGCCAATAGTAGGTCAAAGCATCAAGTGTAGGAATGTTGGCAAGGCGTACGGGACACTAGCTGACTTGCCAATCTTCCTACCCCTGATTGTGTGGTTATTCAATACCGTATGTGTTTTACTCTGAAGTAGTGTCTGCTGCATCCTGGTACCCAAGGACGACTCAAAACCGAATTTGAGCCTGCTCATATTTGCTCTCAGCTGCAGCTCATAAGATTCTCTTGTAAACCTAGCAATTTCATCTAACACAATGCGATCTAAAGTAACGCCGCTGTCCATTGGCCCTTGCCGCCCTTGCGCCGCCGCCCAGACCCGCCCTTCCCTCCCCCCCGAGACGCTCCTTTCTTCTTCTCTCTCACTGGTGTTGCAGGCGCAGCCACCTCCTTCTCACCCGCCCCGCCTTGACACCCCTTTCTCCTTCTCCCTCGCTGGTGTTGCCGGCGCAGCCACCTCCTTCTCACCCACTTTGACACCCCTTTCTCCTTCTCCCCCACCACGACATCCATTAGCCCTTGCCGCCCTTGCGCCGCCGCCCAGACCCGCCCTTGCCACCCCCTCGGGACGTCCCTTTCTCCTTCTCCCTCGCTGGTGTTGCCGGCGCAGCCACTCCCTTCTCACCCGCCTTCTCAGAACCTTCCTCCTTTTTCTCCCCAGCATTTGACTCATCAGCCCTTGCATTCCCCTCTGCACCGTCCCTATCCCCTTTACTAGCTGCCTCAGCATCTCCCTTAGCTGCATCCTCGTTATTAGAAGATGAATTATCATCAGAAGTGGCCTTTCCTCCCTTGAGCTCTTTCTTGGGCTTATCTGCAGCGGGCTTGAGGTTCTTGCGCATGTCATAAGCATCCTCGCTATCAGCATAGTACTTCGCCTCAATGTCGTTGATCCTGCAAACATGGGCGACGGGTGGGGGAGAGAGGGTGGAGGAGGTGAGGAGAGGGATAGAGAGGGAGAAGGGAAAGAGGGTGAGGGGAATAGTAAAACAAGTCAAAAGCACAGTTGAGAGTGAGGGAGTCATGACTTGCACGAAGTGAATGGGTCGCCAGCTGGTAACTCACTTGTAATGGGAAGGTAACTCATTTGTAACGGGGAGGTAACTCACTTGTAACGGGGATGTAACTCACTTGTAGCCGAGTGTTTCAGTGTAAAGGTGGAAAGCGGCGCGGTTGCTCTTCCTCACATGCAGCGACACATACTCGGCCCCAAACACCTCCTCCATTGCATGCTCTGCGAGGGAAAGTATAACGGGTTTATGGGGTGGCATGGCATGGGGTATGGGGTTAGCAAGGAGCAGCAGTGACACATACTCGGCCCCAAACACCTCCTCCATTGCATGCTCTGCGAGGGAAAGTATAACGGGTTTATGGGGTGGCATGGCATGGGGTATGGGGTTAGCAAGGAGCAGCAGTGACACATACTCGGCCCCAAACACCTCCTCCATTGCATGCTCTGCGAGGGAAAGCATAACGGGTTTATGGGGTGGCATGGCATGGGGTATGGGGTTAGCAAGGAGCAGCAGCGACACATACTCGGCCCCAAACACCTCCTCCATTGCATGCTCTGCGAGGGAAAGTATAACGGGTTTATGGGGTGGCATGGCATGGGGTATGGGGTTAGCAAGGAGCAGCAGCGACACATACTCGGCCCCAAACACCTCCTCCATTGCATGCTCTGCGAGGGAAAGTATAACGGGTTTATGGGGTGGCATGGCATGGGGTATGGGGTTAGCAAGGAGCAGCAGCGACACATACTCGGCCCCAAACACCTCCTCCATTGCATGCTCTGCGAGGGAAAGTATAACGGGTTTATGGGGTGGCATGGCATGGGGTATGGGGTTAGCAAGGAGCAGCAGCGACACATACTCGGCCCCAAACACCTCCTCCATTGCATGCTCTGCGAGGCACACATGACGACAGGGACGGCATGGTACAGCACAACCCACGGGAACGGGATGAGGGGTTTATGCAGCGACACGTACTCGGCCCCAAAACACCTCTTACATTGCGTGCTCTAAGGCAGACGTGACAAGGTGGGGCATGGTACAACGCAACACATGGGAAAGGGATGAAGGGGTGGAGATGTAAAAACACATACTTCACTCCAAACACCTCCACCCCTTGTCTTGTCTCCAAACACCTATCCCATTGCATGCTCTTTGGGTGACAAGCAGGTGAGACAAGACAAGAATCAATACACAACTCCTCCTCCTCCTCTGTCGCATGCTATGGGGTGATGGGGTATGGTACAATACATGGGAAGGAAAGGGGATGTTGGTGTTGGTGCACTCACAAAAGTCACATATAAGACCCCACAAGAGTCTTTCGACACTCATGAGCTTGGTGGCGTGGCCGGGCTTGCAGTGAGCGCGAGACACGGTTGAAAAAGAGCACACTCGCGAGCAGCAATCACTCGCCATAGATGGGGCAGCCATTACTGCCTCACTCTCTCCTCTCTCACGAGCACCCATCACAGTCTCATTCTCTCCACCCACGAGCAGCCCCTCTCACGAGCACCCCGTCACTCACGGGCAGCCGTCATGAGCTTAGTGGCGAGCCCCAGCTTGCGGTGCGTGCGAGCCACCGCCAGGGATGTGATGTGCCCTCGACACTCCGTTGACTCCTCCTCCCTGCCATGCCATGCCATGCCATGACAATGACATGCCACGCCCATGCCCATGCCATGCCCATGCCCACGCCCGTGCCGATGCCCATACCCATGCCCGCCCATGCTCGCCCATGCCCATGCACATGTTGATGCACACGCAATGCCCATGCCATGCCATGCCATGCCATACCATGCCATGCCATGTCATACCATACAATGCGACACCATGCCATGTCATGCCATGAAATGCCATGCCATGCTCCAGTGATGTCCAGTCCAGGTCCAAGCACAGATGCCATGCCACACATGGGTCAGGTGGGACGATCCGAGTGAGGATCATGAAGCAACGCGAGTCGCACTAACTCTGTCGCAGAACACTACACTTGCAACTCGCCACACTCACATCTTGGCGAGCACATAGCCACATTACACTCTGTTGCTCCCTTGGCGAACAGGGCACATAGCCGATGGTCTTCTTGGCGAACACTCACACCTTAGCACCAAGCATACGCCCCCACCACACCCACCCCTCGTTACACTCACATCTTGGCAAGCACGTATCCGACAATCTTCTTGTTGTGGTCCCCCCCAATCAATCACCCCTCCCACCCCTCGCCACACTCGCCCCTTGGTATAGTCACATCTGCGCTGCACCCACATCCTGGCGAGCACATAGCCGGCAATTGTTGTGGTCCTGTACCACTCTACCCCTCGTTATACTCACATCCTCGCACCACACATACCGCTCGCCACACACACCCGTCGTTACACTCACCCCTCGTTGCACTCACATCTTAGCAAGAACGTATCCGACGATCTTCTTGTTGTAATCCTCCGCCACGTACAGCAGCTGCGGCCACGACAGGATGTGGTACAGGTAGTACTGGGGAAGGGCAGGAAGGGGGGAGGTGAGAAGAGAGCAATAGGACCTTCGCCACGTAGAGCAGTTGCGGCCACGAGAGGATGTGGTACAGGTAGTACTGGGGGAGGGAGGGAGGGAGGGGGGGGAGGGGGAGGGATGGGGAAATGGGGGGAAGTGAGGTGGGACTGGTGAGAAGAGAACTGCTAGATCCTCTGTCACGTATAGAAGCTGCGGCCACAAGAGGATACAGGTAGTACTGGGGGAGGTGGGGGAGGGGAAAAGGAAAGGGTGGAGCAAAGGGTGGGGAGGGGAAAGGGAAAGGGTCGAGCAAAGGGGGGGGAGGGGAAGAAGAGAAAAGATATGCCATGACAGGATGTGGTACAGGTATAACTCGGGGAAGTAGACGGGGGGAGAGAAGAGGGGGGAGAGAGACACGACAGGATGTGATACAGGTAGTACTGGGAGGGTTAGAGGGAACGGGAGTGGGGGAGGATGGTGGGGATCAGGAAACAGCACAGACAGCACATCATGAAACATCACAGGATGTGGTACAGGTAGGGGGGAAGATAGGACTGCGCTGAGGACAGGGGGGGGGGAAGGGGGGAGGGTGCGGGCGGAGTGTGGTGGTGAAGAAAGAACAATGGAGCAAGACATGATAGGATGTGGTACAGGTGGGGGGAAAGGTAAGGGGAGTGCGTGGGATAAGAATGGGCGCGGGGAAGGATAGAATGGGAAATGGAGGGGGGGGGAGGGGGGCGGGGGTGGGGAGGAGGAGGGGGAAGGGGAAGGGGGGGAGAGGGTAGAATGGGAAATGGAGGGGGGGGGAGGGGGGCGGGGGTGGGGAGGAGGAGGGGGAAGGGGAAGGGGGGGAGAGGGTGGGTGGACAAAGGGATAAAGTCTGGATTATATGATTATTATGTTGCTCCCACCTTCGTCATAATAGTCCCATCGTGATTATTATGTCCCCGTCATCCCCGTCATACAACCATCCAACCATCCCACCATCCCCACCATTCCCACCATCCCCACCATCCCACAATCCCCACCATCCCCACCATTCCCATCATCCCCACCATCCCCACCATCCCACAATCCCCACCATCCCCACCATTCCCACCATCCCCACAATCCCACAATCCCCACCATTCCCACCATCCCCACCATCCCAAAATCCCCACCATTCCCACCATCCCCACCATCCCCAACATGCCACCACCTGCGCACCTTCATCTGGTAGTTCTCAGGCAGGCACATGAGGTTGCAGCTCTGCATGGCCAGC